TTTTTTTTTAATCCCAACTAGACAAATCTCCAGTGATCTCAGCAGAGTTTCATTTGTACAGTGAGGAAGAAGTCCAACTTCCATCTGGTATTTATCACCACATTTTTGAGGAGTTGTCTGTATGTGCTTGAGGTTACACAGAACTTTGTGCAGATACCTTTTCAAGCCTAATGCACTTGTTAGAACAGTGCTTGCCTTGTCTTTGTAGCACACCAGCATTTCAGCTTTCATGTTAACTTAAAAAAAGACATAATTTGGCTTGTCAGGCAGTCCAGCAAGCTGGGCATAGGCAAGTGTCTGATATGACAACAACACGCAATCTTATTTAATAGAGAGCTTAGTGATCTTTCTTGTTCTGTATTTTCAGGCATGTGAAATGAATTTTCAGCATTGTGCTTGCATGTGGGTGTCCTCTGAAGGATAAGTGACATCAATCAGCAAGAACTGCTGCCCTTGTCTGATAACTTTGCTCAAGATGCCCTCTGAACATAACCTTTGTGAACTCCTGCAAGTATTTAACTGGCAACATTGAACATTGGTTTTGGGGTTTGGGTTTTTTGGGTGTTTTATGTTTTTTTTTTTTTCTTTGCAGCAGATGGAATAACTTAAATGTTAGAGCTGTATTTTGCTTTAAAATATAGCTTGAATTTTAATTTAAAGTTGCTTTTACGCAAATATATTTGTAATTTTATATAGTTGAAGACTTTAATGCTTTTCTCCATTATAATATATTTTTGTATGCAAATAAATCCTGAAATGAAATCCAAATGTCTGTAAGCTTCCTATGAACATGCAAACTCTGAAACAGAAGCACAAATTCAACTCTTACTGAGAACAACACACTTTAAAATATCTTGGTAGTGGTATATTTTCTGTCAATTTCAACTAGCATTAGAAATTTTACCTATTTCCATTAGGTAAAATTTGTTATGCTAGTTGAATGTGGTTGCTTAAATAAGAACTTTGTGCTATGTAAAATTAATACAAACAGGAAAATAATAAATTGGGTCAAACTGTTACTTCGGATTTGTGTTAATACAAATGAAATAACACTGACTTAGTAGACATTTGAACAATAATATATATTCTAAACCCTATGTAAAGGCTGATTTCAAACTCTCAGACCATTTGACATGAAGCACTGGCTCTTTGGAAGGTCGGACATTTAGCCCATCAGGTTGGAGGTGTGGAGTTCCTGTGCCACTGGGACAGTGCTGGTATCTGGGTGTTTCTGACACCAGGCCCTTGGGTCTGGAACACTCAACCACTCTGAAGAGACTTCCTGGCCATCACTGTGGTGCTGAAAGAGGGAAGGTGAACCTGTGCTTTTACAAGGAACCTGATTATTTCCATGTGCATTAGGCACTGGGAATGTCATTATGTGAGGTCTCCTGCAGCTGCCTCTGCTGTCTGAGCTGAGCTCCCCTGGCTGTCCTGGCCAAGTGAGCTAGGGCTGGGCTGAACTCCTGCCGAACTGTGACCAAAGCTGTCTAGTGAGCAGTTGCTTGAATGGTTCATTTTTTGTGCCCGCTCTGATGTGTTATCTTGGGGTGTGTAAGTACCTGTGACACAGCTACCTGCTTGGGGGACCTTAAAGAACAGATCTGGATCTGCCTTCTGCAGCTTGGGGAAAACCTGCTCTGTATTTCCTTATAGGAACATCATAAGAATGGGGTAGATCCATCTCCCTGGATTTTAGATTTCCTAAAAATTGACCCAAACATTTGGTTTTAATGAACACCATATGATTTCTTCCCCCTGCCCATCCCCAGTTTTATTCATTAGCAAGAAAAAAAAATTCTGAACTGGGTACATTTTATCAGTCTGAAAGAGTCTTGAGGTTGCTGTGTGGGTTCTTTCCTTCTTTCAAGCAGGAGGGCAATGTGAAGTGGAGCAGTGTGTGGTGGAGTGTGCTCCTCAAGAGGAAACTTTCCTTTCAGCATTTCCTACTGCAGATTCTGTTGGTAAATTGTCCCATAGAATAGAAAAAGGAGTAAAATGATTCAGGAGTGTAAAGCTTTGTGCTTGCAGCAGGTTAACTTTCAGATCTGTGAAGGTTTGAGACAGTGAAGTCCTTCTCTTTGCTCTGGGACCTTCCCAGAGGCTCCTGCACCACAGGAACCCCATTATTAGCAGTGTAAAATTCACTGCTGCTATGCTGTAATCATACAGGAGCATCCTTTTTGTGATGGGTGTCTGGCCCTCCTCCCCAGCCCCAGATGTGAAGGGATCCTTTGGCTGGTGCAGGACTCCTGTGAGCTATGGAGACACTGTCCCTTGAGCAGGAGCTGAGGGAAGGGCAACCAGGACAGCAGGGACAAGTTTGTGCTTCCCTTTAAAGAAGCATCCTTAGCATAAGGCATGTTTTTAAACCTGCTGGAATAGCAGCAGCAGTTCTGGCTGGTTTTCTATATTTAAATGCTGGTTGGTAGTTTGAACCAGGGGGTGGCCACTCCAAGTGATCCCAAGGTGGTGGGACATGGACAGCTCTTTGCTCCTCAGGTTGGGTTGTTTGAGGCATGAGTTTCCCACTTGTTTTTGTTGCTGTTTGATCCTGCTGAATACTCTGTGCCTACAATCAGTGTTTAAAGTCAGCTGTCTCCCTTTATAGGCTGAAATCACCCCATCAGTGCAGTGCTTTGGAGTGGCAATGCTTTGTCCTCACAGACACCCAGTTTTGAAGGTTTTTCCAGTGTAAGCAAAGGTTTTAGTGAGGCGTGCTCCTCATTTTGTCTAACGTCAGTGGTGATGGAGTTGGGGATTAAGTCACCATCTGTTGGGGTTTTTAAATCTTGTTTATGCATGAACAGGTGGAGACTTCTTGCTTATACAGCAGATCTGGAGATCATCAGCTGCAAATCTGGGAGTATCTTCTGTGGAGCTGTTTGTCTGAATTCCTGCCAGTTTATGTTCAGCTTTCAATGTGTCAGAAGGAAGGCACTGATGTAGATGTCATTTCACAGGAGGATGCTTATGACTTAAGTTCATAATCTGATTACATATGGCACTGAAAAATGAATTGCTGGAAAAAGTTCTGTCATGCTTTATCCCCAATGAACATTGCTGGAGACTGCACTGTCCTCATGGGCCAGGCTGAATTTTTAGTCCTTGTTTTGACCTCCCTCTCATGCTGCAGTGCTGAATTTGAATTCAGAAGAGTCTCAGCATTGTTGTGCCAGTCCCATGCACCCAGAAATGGAAATGAGCAGCTTAGACAAAGCAGATGTGTCACCACAGCTTAACCTGTGGAAGGTGAGGTGAAACAATTGCACGTGTGCTCTCTACCTTCTGCAAATTCAAGGTTAAATGGATTAATTTAACCCTCCATCACCAAGGCTTGAGCTAATGTATCTTTTCTTGGGCTTGCTGTTGACTCTGTGTGTCCTTAGTGCCAGCTGGTACCAGGTAACACACAATGCTTGATAACCTTAGTAAGGGAGAGGGACCAGACGAAGGAGGGATTTATGTTTTTCCTGGGTTGTGTGGGCATCTGCAGCCTCTACTGATGCACTGACTGGAATTTTCTGGCTAGGTGACCTTTTAGGCGTGAGAAAAACAGTTGAACTGGCAGTGATGGAACTTGGTTAAAAGGGAAGGGCTCAGCCCCTGCTGCTCCCATGGCCCTTGTGCTGGTGCCTTCTCCCCTTCTTTGTTACTCTTGTGGGATTTTTGGTACATACTGGGTGTGGGACTGATTTCCAGGGGCATTGCCTAATCTGAAGGGTCACAGAGGGCAGGAGAATCCATGCTCAGAGCTTCAAAGGTTCATTTCAGCCTTGGTTTCAGTAGCAGATGCTTGCAAAGAAAACCAGCACAGGAAGTTTCTGCCTGCTGGGAAACGTTAGGAGTTCACCAGTGGGAAAGGTCCAGCCTGCATGGTCTCCTCTGGAGCTCATCTCAGATGGCTCAGGTGTACCCAGCTGACCCATAGGAGTGGTGTTTGCACCCCTGAGCCCATCCTGGGAGAGTTAATTTATCTGAAGGTGCTAGACCTGACATCTGCTAGACTGTTGGAGAGAAAATTTCAGAAGTTGCAATGTTTGGAAGCAAAGCCAATATGGCTGCAGCAGTTCTTGAACTGAATCCAGCTCTGCATACTCACAGCACGAAATCCATATTCTCAATGGGGAAATCTCTTGTTTTCTATATTACTTGCTACATTACTGATTTTTTTGCAGGCTGGCCAACAGCTCTAGCTCTCTAGATAACTTTACAATAATGTAAGATGATCCTGGCTGCTACATCTCATCAGCTTAGAATCTAAACTGTAAATCAGATTTGTAAACCAGATCTTTTCAAGGTTCTTTCCTTTCTTAGAGGTTAAAAGAGCTATCAGTCAAATGTTGTAGACTGACCTGTGTGATTAAAATAGGTCAGTCTTGACAAAGGCACCCCAGTGCTTTTGCTCTTTCACACCTAGGTATGGAAAGCTAAAATATTTATTAGTTTAGCTTTTCAAAGCTGCAGACCAGAGGCCTGTGCCTGCATTCTCCCAAGGCTTCAGAGCTCACTGTCTTCTCTGGGAGGCCTGAAGATGCTTAAATAGGCTTCAGACTGGAGGTGAAAGTTGCCTTCTCCATAGCTGATGGCTTAACACTGATTGCCATCCTTTGGTTCTGTTGATAATGTATTTCAGATCATTAGTTTTAATTAAAACTGTTGCCCTTGTCTTAAAAATCCTCAAAACAATTAATTATTATGGTACATGTGTAGTCTTCCATTAAAAAAAAAAATCTTGCTACTCCATCAAATCAGGTCAGGACCAATTTAGCCTGAATTAAGCACTTATGTAAACCACTGAGGTTAGGATGTTGCCCTTGGCTCCTTCAATAACCATTACAGAAAGGAGAGGGAGGCTGAATTATCCCCTAATGATGGTCCTTTGCTACAGCAAATATTGTAAAACACTCCAGTTAAGCAGGTTTTTCATTTGGGCTTCTTAATCCACTGACTAAAGAAAAGTGTAGGTGTCAAAATAAAACTGCCTACAAATAGCCTGAAGTGTAACAGCTGGTGGGGCTGGAAGAGCAGAGGCAGAAACACCCAGCTGGGCAGGTTCCTGTGCTTGGGGCTCTGCATCACACTGTGCAAGCCCAGCAGCTTCCTTCAGCCCTGGGACTGGGGCAGGGCACAGCTGGGAGCTGCTGGGACCACAGCCCACATGGGATGCCACAGGATGAGCCACAGGAGCTCAGGGCTCTGAGCAGAGCTGCCAGAGCCAGCTGAGGAGAGGTGCACTCCTCATCCTCACCACTGCTGCCCATTCCCACCGTGCTAGGTGGGGTGGGAAGCTCCAGCTGCCTCCTTGGGCAGGAGCAAGGAAACCACGGGGAGCCCTGGGATGGTGCTTGGGTGCCACAGTGCTGAGCCAGGCCTGTGCCCTTTGGCTGTCTGCACCTGTGGGGCTCCCAGTCTTTGGTTTCTCTGGGTCTGGATTGAAGGCACTCGAGACAGTAGTTTGTGTTGTGACTCAGGTATTTATTATTTCTTATCAGGAAAACAGTTTTCTTATCAGAAAACTCTCACTGCTGTGAGTTCGGCACCTTTCCATTAGAAGGCACAAAACGGCCAAAAGTCTCTTGTTCCAAGGTCCTTTAAGAACTATCCAATTAGGAACTGACACCTAGACTATTTTCCCTTTTAACCCAATAACTGATCCCAAAGAGCTGCAATGTGGACTTTTTTGCCCAATTGCAAAATGCCACCCAAACCCATGGAGAAGAAGAAGGAAGAAGAGGTATGAAGAAGAAACCCAGGATGACCCCCTGTGCTGTCCATCCTGCTTCCATCCACAACATACTAAAATCCCAAAACCTAAATTTCTCACAAAGTGATACACCTACACTACTCTCTACAATCTCTTTCACTCTTTTGTGGATTCTAGTCTATCTTGAAGTCTAGGAAACTTTCTCCATGAATAAAGGTTAAAGTCAGTGCTCCCCTGGGGGTCAGGGCACCCCAGAGCAGACAGAGACATATTCCCTGTGCACTGGGTTTCCACATGCACTCTCAGAGCCCACTCTCTTGTCTTTTGCTGCTTCCCACCAGCACTCCCTGTCTGCAGCCCAGCCCTAGTCCCCACCTGCCCACCCATGCTCAGTCAGGCCAGCCCTGCTGCTGCAGCAGGAGAGCTGGAGCTTTGATAGTTGTTGGTTTGTTTTCTTTTGTTGTTTTTTATTTTTTTTTAAAGCATTCTAGGACGATGCCAGGGGCTATCTCAGCTGCAGACGGTTTCTAGGTTAACTGTCCATGGTGTGCGGCTCAGTGGCTGAGCACTGAATGGATGCCACTGAAGCCCACAGTGAAATTTGCAGGTGAGCTGGGACTTAGCTCTGTGTCAGTGTGTCCTGGGCTCCCTCAGAGCTCCAGAAAAAATCATAAATTTGGGGTCAGCTTTCTTGTGCAATACAAGTAGGAGTTTCTGAACACTGTTTAGAACATCTCAGGAGGCATTCAGCCTAGTATCTTGGTTAAAATTGAGTGAATGATTGTGCTGTTCCCCATTTCATTCCATCTCTCTGGGAAGCAGAGTGATTCACAAGGGTGGGTGGGACTTGTTGCTCTTTTCCCCATGGGATTTGGCACCAGGGTGGTGCTAAGAGCTCATACCCACAAATATTTTGTGCTTTCAAGCTGTGAACTCAATGGACTCTCATGCAATATTAAGCTCTGATCCTGGTAATCTGTCTCCATAGACTGGTTCTCCAGGCTGTGTATAGTTTAGTAGTTTTATGCTCTTGGAAAACTGATTTATGAACATTTATGTTTGTTTATGTGTAGAGTTTATGATGTGAAACAAAATACATGTTTTTCTCAGAGGCCAAACAGAACAGCTCAGCTCTCAGTCTCCAAATAGCATCCCAGATAATTTATTTTGTTGACAGCTGGTACAATGTGCTGCTAATCCAACAGTAGTTACTGCACATTAGCAGCCATACATCAGCTGCCTCAAAGCACTTTGGCATGCTCCAATAAATAAATTCCACTATAAAGCTCCGAGCAGATCTCTCCAGCATGCAGCAGCCCCAGTTTGGAGGCAGAGGTGAAAGTTTGGTGCTTGGCCAGAGGAGGCTGGCTGTGTCCATTAGGGATCCAAAGGCTGCATTAATGCTGAGTTTAGGACAAGGGCTTCTTGCTCACAGTTCTTCATACTTAAATAATCTTGTAGGAAATGTCTTGCCATTGCAAGAGTGTCTGACACTCCTGAGCCCTTGCTGAATGAAATTAAGAGAACCAGCTTGGTGGGTTTTTCCCGAGGTTGCTATCAGGTAACTCCAGCCCAGATGACTGCAGAGGAAAGTTACAGAGTATTGAGAAACTTGCCTGAAATTCATTAGTATCCTTGTTTAGTGTTTTCAGTAATGCTTTCATCAGGGACCATGTGTTTTTTTACACTTCCACCGACCATGAAGGTATAAAGAAACACCTGGTCCCTGATGAATTGCATTACTGATATGCACCTCCACCAGCTGGGAAGGTACCTCTTAATGCAAAACGCTTCCCATGAACTGTTCTCTTCCCTCTACATCTCTTTATACCTAACAAAACCCCTTCTTACAGAGCAGCTTCCCCAAATCAGATCCAAAGATGGGCATTACAGGCTGTCTGACAGCTGCCCCATCCACAGAAAGGCAAAAGGAAAGGAGAGACACAGTTAAAGGCTGCAGATTTCTTTTCCTCTTTCACCATCATTTGTGGCTCAAAACTCACATGGTCTTCTCTGGGAAAGAGCTGTGGGAGATGTGAATCCCTTGCCTGTACCCTCAGAGGCAGAAAGCAGGCAGAGCCAGAGCTGAGCTAAACGAGGCAAACCTGCTCATCTCCACAGGCTTTAAACCTTCTGCATCCCAACTGGCCCCATCCCCCTGGTTTGTGGGGCCACAGGAAAAGTGTATAAGCAACATTTAGACTGTTTCATGGACTCTGGCTTTGCCCAGCACCGTCAGTGCCTCATTGTGCACTGAGGGGCAGCAGCAGCTCCCTCATCACATCCCTTCTCCATGGCCAAGTGTGGAATCTGACATCTGCTGTTGTTGGGTTTTTTTTTGGTTTTTTTTTAAAAATTGTCTTAGTGATTTAATGGTTCAACTCCAGAGGATGAGCCCTGGTGTATGTGTTACTTTAGTTACCCCTATATGGGTGGAGGGGAAGGGAACAAGCACCCAAACCATGGGCAATCTGGATTGCAAAACATTTAAATATTTAAAATGTCAGATCTGTTTTAGTGTTTCTTTAATGGGACCCATCCACAAGGGCTCACATGAGTCTGTGGACTCAAGTTTAGGACTAAAACCAGCATTTCTCACAGTGGTAGCTGGACCATCTGCCACTCTTCCCTAGTCCTCATGACTGAGTGGTTAAATAAGAAGGAGCCATTCAGGATCTGCCAATTGTGCTTTTCCAGTGACCTTTCAAAAAACTGACTTCTTTTTGACTAAAAATAAATTTTGCATTACCAAACCAATGAGGCAGACTTCCCTATGTATTTTGAATAACACCATTGTTTTGAAATATATCTTGGCTCCCATGTAACAACAGCCTGATGGTAAAAAAAAAAGGTGATTTAAATTGGTTCTGTTTATTGGCTGATATTCAAAATACAGTAAGAAAGTTGAGCTTCTGTGCTATCCTGTGACATGCCATCATTAGCACCTCATGAAATGAGAGGAAGGGAGAATAAAATCACCCAAACATTTCTGGAAACCTTCTCTGAGCTACTTTTTTTACTCAGGAATTTTCACTTTCAGAGCACCTCTGTTGCAGACTATTTCCCCATAATGACGTGTCTAGACTTTGATGGAAAAATTTCCAGGCAGCTCTTATTTCTCTGTCCTCTTTTCTCTTTCCATCCAGGGGTGAGCAGTTGGTGTGGTGATGATGATGATGTCCAAAATGGGAAACAGACTCTGAACTGAGCCAGTTCCTCGAGGAAAGCCCTTCCTTTGGGGGTTTGATATGCCCAGATACGCATGCACGGAAAAGCCTGGCCAGAAGGAGGGTGGCATTGGTCCTTAATGAAGAATTTGGTAGCAGAGGTGAAGTTGTAGAAGCAGGGAAAAGGAAGGTAGGATTTTGAGGATGCTGGGCTGTAATGATTTGCTTTATATCTGTACATAAAAATGCATTTTCAGTATGTGTCTGTTAAATCACTGATACAATTTCAGATGTTTCCCCTACAATTTACAGAGCATTTCTTAAAGCCAGACCAGTTCTGTTGTATCTTTTGAAAGTTATAAATACCTTCAAGATAGATGAATTTTCCTGACTTTTGTGAGAACCAAATAGCAGGATGACAGACCCACCAGCCTTGCAAATGCAGATTTTTTTATCAAGAAGGAGCACTACTACATGGCAGTGACGTGTGGCTGCAAACTGACCATGCTAAAAGGAGAAGGCAGGAAAAGTGACTTCTCAGCTTTGCTCAGTTAAGGGCTCAGCCTCTCTTTTCCCTATTCTCTGGCTCTTCTCCAGTTCCTGTGGTTTTGAACTTTTATTTTCCCTCATAATCAGACTGATATCATAGGGATTTGCATGGAAACTGATGCCCTCAGCTCATCTCAGTGCCAGAATTACAACAGTCTCTTGTTCCTAATGGAAAAAAATATGTTAGATTTCCAGACAGCCCCAGTTTATGTGCTGAGTGATCTGCTAGCCTATAAGCAGAGCCTAATGTGATGCCTCCATCTAATTTCATGAAACCAGATGAGAAATAGAAAAAAAGTATATGTTAATGTGGCATGTGCTTGTGTAAGTGTTAACCAGGTCAGTGTTTCTCTGCTGCCCGTGAGGCCTGGCCTCTGTCACCTTGGCTGTGTGAAGAAAAGACCCCAAGATGCTGGGTTTTCCCCAAAGGGAGCAAAACCACTGTTGTCTTGGGGCCCTACAGTGACCCTCTGCTGTGTCAAGTTCTCTGCAGACACAAGGAAGTATCAGTAATGGTTTCTAAGTTCTGCTGAAATTGTTTGGTACAGCTTCCAGTCCTTTTGGGGGTTAGCTTGTTGGCTTAAAGGAAGGTTGACTCCCAATTCTACTGTCTGAAGTGAACCATTCCTCCTCCATCTAGCAGCAGGTTCAGGAGGTTCAGGAAATGGCAGGACTGGTAGAATGAAACCCCTCTAAAAGCCTTGTGCCCTCTGGCTTGGGTACCCTCATTTGGAACCATCAAAGGAGGGCTGACAGAAATGGATCCTGAACCCTTTTCAGATGTGCCAGATGGATGGATTATAGTGCTAATGTCATTCATCCAGAGGGAGGAAGCTGATGGATAGGCCATGTGTGTCTTGGCCCTTTTAGCATATTTACTTCCTTGCCAAAGCTTTGGGGAAAATAACTGCTTTTAATGGAAGCTTGCCCAAACAACACCCAAACACTGACACAAGTCTCTGCGTGGCAAGTCTGGATCTGCCTGGCTTGTTGGGTCACTGCTGCAGAGCCAAGCTGCCGTGCAAGCAGTGAACAAGTGGCAGAGTGACACTCCTGCCTGATGCAATGTGAAGCAGCCCATGCAGGAATATGCACAGAGAGCCAGCTCAATAGAAATCAAGACCTACTTTAGCATCAAATTATGTATTCTCAGCTTTTAGAGGCTTGGCCTCAGGCAGTTTTTCATGTTCAGCTCACCCTGTGCTTTAACTGGAGCTGAGAAAGTTGCTGACTCCGTCCTGTGAAACCTCAGCGGCGCGATGAGGAGCTGCCTGACTCACTGCCAGCCTCATGCTCAGCCCTGCTGCCGGCTCCAGAGACACTGAGCTCCTGAGCCTGACCCGTGTGAGAGCCTCTCCACCTCTGCAAGCCACATTAACCAAGTCCCGACCAGTTCTAGGAGAATGACATTGGCCTGAAACAATGGGCTTGACGTGGATCCTTTCCTGGTGCCCAAGCTTGGGCGGATGGTTTTTCCTCCCACGTGCACACAGGTGTTCTCTCTTTGAGAAACACACTGAAACAGTAAATCCTATTTGTGGCTTTTTGTTAAGCTTCCAGCCTTGAGGGGCAGAAGCTGTTCCAGTGAAAGGAAATAGAGTTTTGAGGTGCGTGGGCAGGACTCCTGCCTTGTTCTTGGGGATGCTAAAGTCACCCAAATATCTGGGGTTTTTTGGCTGTTGGTGTGCAGGAGCTGAGGGAAGCAACAGTGGGTGGATGCCTGCAGGTCTCTCCCTGCCTCAATCCTGACAGGAAGCGAGTCACTCTTGCAGCTGCTGAGATCCACCCCCAGATCCACCAGCATGCCCAGCAAAAAAGGTCTTTTTTCCACATGTGTCAAAATTAGGGACAGGAAAGTGTTTATTTATATACTCTGTGTAGGTGCTTTCTGGCTTTCTTTGGAGACATTCTCTCTGCCCTCAATTCCTTTTCTCCTCTCCTGCCTCCCATGCTCCCCCCTGCTGCCCCCAGCACCCCCTCTCCCAGGGAAAGAGTTCCCCCTGCTCCCAGGGGCTGGCAGGCTCCTCTGTGGCTGGAGGGATTGGCCTTGGCAGCTGCACAGGAACCGGCGTGGGGCAACCGGGGTGCCCTCCTGGCCCTGACTCATCCCTTATGGGGAGCTGAACTGATCCCCTTGAGCTCCAGGCCTCTCTCCCACCCACTTTTGGGATTCAGAGAGGAGGAAGGGCTCTCTGAAAGGGACCAGGGCTGCAGATGGACACTGTCACTCCCCTGCATGGCATTTGACACCTGCTCTGCTCGGGCAGGGCAATGTGGATATTTCTCTCTGCCTGATCATCTGAGTGGTGTTGCTTTGGCATGACTCAGGAGTGACTGACTTTGCCCAAAATAAAGATTCCTTGTAAGTATGCATCACTCTTCCAGAAGACTGTGATTCACTGGAGGTTTGCCTCCACCTTCTTTGGTGCAGTCCACAGCTGTGATTCCCTTTGGAGCCTTTGTTTGGTCTGTCTTTCTTTCTTTCTTTCTTTCTTTCTTTCTTTCTTTCTTTCTTTCTTTCTTTCTTTCTTTCTTTCTTTCTTTCTTTCTTTCTTTCTTTC